GCTTTCACGAACTACTACTCGCCTCACGACTCGGCTACGCCTCTCCAGACGATCCTTCTCGTCTCGTTCGGGTAAAACCGTAATTTTACGCGTTACTCCACCGTCCAACTCTGTTATTTATCGCCGTTAACGAGCTAACGATTTCTTTTTCCTTTACGAGCTCCCAACCATAACCTCGCTCTACTCGATCTCCATGGATTACTCCTTGAAACGATGCCTTCCTTGCCTAAGACAATTTTTCTCGCGATCTCTTTTTTTTCTTTTCGATAAAACGATTTCGAAATTAGCTTCATTTTTTTTTTTATCCTTCGGATTCGAATCGAGATAGGATCTTTGAACGTCGTTTTTTTTTCTTTTTTCTTTTTTTTTTTTTTCGAAACGTGTCTTTCGACGAACGATTTCACGAAATCTAGCCGAGGTTGTTACGTACGGGAGCGATCTCGTTAGCGGGAAACGGTGATTTTATGTAGAACGCGGAACTCGTATTAACTCATTCGTCCGTAGAACGCTATCGTTACCGTCATTACGATACCGTTATCATCAGTTGGGTCATTGTTGTAATATTATCTGGGACGAAAATATTTTTTTCTTTTTCTGTGCATCCTTTTTGCCGCTCAATGAATCGATACGATCACGGTTCTAATATTCTAAATACGTCTATTCCTAATACTCATAACGAGGAGAAGATTCGAGAAGTGCTCGCATCGTATTCGTCGTCGTGATAGCTTTCGGAAAGCGTGCGGTCGAAATGGCAGGGACGAGAGATCGGGTATCGATCCTCGAGGGATCCTCCCAACGGATATGGAAACCAGAGGCTTGAGTAATTAACAGAATCTCCTTCCCCTTTGCCGTGCATATACCTGCATGCCTGTGTCTGTCTGCTGCATTAATTGTCTCTCCGTACGACGTGTCCACGATCACGGGTGCACGCGACACGATCAAGACACGCGTGTGTTCGTAACTGAACACGCGTTTTGCATATGAAATTCTTGCAACGTGATCCATCATTCGAGTTAATAACGCTGGTACAACTAGAAGACCGATACATCGATTCGATAACAAGTTTTATAATTAATAGCTTTCGTTTAACCGTGCTGATGATTCACCCGTATTATATCGTATTTCGAAACGATATACATACATTTCCAACATTGCTATCGTCTCGTTCGAGAATTTTATTTAAATTTAATGAGGGTGATGATAATAAAATCGTGGGGATGAGAAGATTTTTAAAAGATTCCGATCAAGCTCGAGTCCCTGCCGCGTTAAATTTGGCCGTGAAACTCGATTTTAAGCCCTCTTAGGGAGCGGTATTCTATCTCGTTAAGTTTACGACATTGAGCCGCGAAACGGGATCCCGCAAAAAGGATGGTTACTTTACAAGCGTAAGCTTAGAACTTTCACACCCTTAACGTCTCATCCTCGATGTTCAAAGCTTAATAATATCTTCGATAGCGTGCAACCATTCGAAGAAACACCTCTTGCCTACGAACGAGGGACAAAGGCGTCGTAAAGACGGTGTTTACAGTCAAAGCACGTCATATCTTGCCATATTAATATGTCGGCTGGTTGCAGCCAAGTCGACAGAAATTGCAAAACGTGATACCGATGGCGCTGCTGTTCCCAACACCGACCGGCGGGGACATTAATTCCTGATATTACCCTCGTAAATATCGCCGAAACGTTCTCTACTGGCACCTTTCTTCCTAAGATTGAAACGCTTTTTTCTTTCGCGCGACGTCAATGTATCGTCGCAGGAAAAAACATTTCAATTTTTTTCCGTTTTTTCTTTTCCTTTTTTTTCCTATCCTACGATCTATTACCATCGATATATCACCACGACTCGACTCGTTCTCGCACGCCGCTGCGTGAACGAACGAATCGACGAAGGAGAAAAGCTCGTAAATTTTTATGGACCGCCATTTCTCTTCCACGGTATTACGGATTACTTGGAAAAAAAAAAAAAAAACCAATTCTTAGGTGAACGATATTTTCCTCCGAACTACTAAATTTGAAAAATATCCGTTCGAACGAATCTCTAATTGCGAAAAGAAAAAAAAAAAAAAAATTTCGCGTCGTATTCGTTAAATAATAATTACGACGGTGAAGAGAAAATAAAGAATTTAATTTATATACCTACTCGGACAAGTAGTAGGTACATATAAAGACCGGTAAATAAATTTCTTTGGAAAATTTTTACGCGAAATGAAAGGTGTAATTATTCTTTCCTACGGAGAGGTAGTAGACACCATTAACTCTAGTACAGGAGTAAGTATTTTAAACACCGCGGAAAATATAAGCCTTAGTATCTTATTCTCTTCGAACGAATAGCGAAACGAGAGAAAAATAAATTTCGCGTCAGCGGATAAAAATAGAGAGATAAAGATTACATATTATATACTTTTAAAAATAGCAAAAAGAAGCAAGAAATTTATTCTCGTTCTTCATCTCGTTCCTTTCCTTTTTCTACTTTCTTCTTCTTCTGCTCGTGCACGGTTAAACCGAGCAAAACTATCTAATTCGATGTATTAAAAATAAAACGTACGATTCCTCCGTACTCTACCTTATCTACCGTGTGGGTAGATGATTCGTTTTTAAAAGAGAATAACTGGTCTTGTATCAATTCTTACGATCAATATCGTCCAGTCGACACGAGTCTCGTATCCTCGTACATCGTAAGGGAGACACGGGGATGCGCCTTGCTTATCGGCCCGCTTACAGTTCGCCTCCAATAAACGTCCCACCGTTCTTTACGCGTTATAATGCGCGTATAACCACCGCACCGCATTGAAAATTTTTATTCGAGTCGTAAAAGGAGGTCAGCCCATTAACGCGTCTTGTTCCTACCTTGTTTTACCTTTAGGCTTGAAAATAATCAAGGGGGGGACTTGTAACACACGTGCATATGAATATTCATATCGATTCGAACGTAAATAATAATTAGCATTTCACTTATCAAGATTTATAAAGCGTTAAAAATCGTTTTTTTACTCCTCGTTTTATTTGAAACGAGTGTTTCGAGGGAAAAAGAAACGGGAATAGATATTCCTGTGTATCCCCTGACGTGTTTCGATCGAAACATCCCAAAACGAGAATAATTCTCTTAGCCTTGGTCGTTTCTGGGAAAACGGTGCTTTCATTGGTTGATTCATCGACAAAAGTATCCAGATACGCGAACGACGTCATCGTTCGAGCCAAATATTTACCATTCTTCGGTCACGCGACACGCGGTTAGGATTGTTAGGGAAACTTGGTTAGATTTCACACGAGTTATCTCGCATTTCTTCGTTTCACGAGCGCGTCTCATGGGTTTTACCCTTGGCCACGTCGTTCCGTCTTATTTTCATTCCCACGAGCAGATTTATTCGTCGTAAAATCTATCGCTCTCTTTCTATCGTTTAATTTGAAACGGACAATTTCTTTTTTTTTTTTTTTTTTTTTTTACGACTTTTTTACAACTTTTTTACAACTCCTCCTAAAATGTTAATGCGTTTTTCTAAAACTTTCTACGCAATTTTTTCTCCGCGTATCGCGTCGAGAAAAGAAACGATGAAACGATGTAACTCGAGATATTTCTCGATTATTAAAAATCATATTCAAATCGACGAAAGTCAATTGGGGGGGGGGGGACCGATTCGTTGCAACGAGAAGGAAAATTACAAAGAGAAAAAAGTGGAATTCGCGTCGAAGGGAATCGCTCGAAACGATCCCTCTCCTCGTGTTTTCTTTGGCCCGCGCGTTAACGCCCTCGTCCAGTTTCCTTCCTCTTTTATTTCTCTCGCGTTCCCCCCCCCCCGCTCTTTTTTCTTTCGCCGGAGCACGCGATTTTGCCACGCTTGCCGAAACTACACAACGGATCGTTTCCATCATCGCACTTTTGACGAGTGTGCTGCTAATCGCTTCACACACACACACACACACACACACACACACACACACACACACACACACACACACACACACACACACGAGAGAGAGAGAGAGAGAGAGAGAGAGAGAGAGAGAGAGAGAGAGAGAGAGAAGAGGAAGAG